GTGCCGCACAGAGGAGAGGACCTTGAACACTGTCAAGTGAGTCAGCAACAATCTCAAAGATAATGAATTATAATTGATAATCACATTCTAAACATAAGTATTTTCTTTGAATGGCATGTGCTGAACAAGAACAGAAAGAGATTAAATGAATTTATGTGAAGTAATGGCTCAGGAGATAGCAAGGCCAGTCTGTCAGCCAGTCCCCCATTTTGGTCCAGATGGAAATATCTGATCAACTATCGGATAGATTTTCATCAAGCTGAGTCATGACCACTTTGGTGATCCCCTGACTTGTCTCGTAAGTCCATATTGAGGTTGATATTTTTGGATTTGAGGGAAATTTCTTAGCGATTATTAGAGGTGGGTGAAGTACTCAGATCTTGTACTTAAGGGAAAGTAGAAGTAACAGAGTGTAAGAATACTCTGTTACGTAAAAATCCTGCAATCAACATGTTAATCAAGTACAAAAGTATTAGAATCAGAATATACTTAAAGTACAAAAGTTTAAGTAGTTTACTCCAGGAGGAACTAAAGTCTGATTTAACACTTGATTATATTTCACATCATTCATCCAAATCTGCAAAGTAACTAAAGTACAATTATTTCAAAGTTGTACACAAGTACACTACTTGAGTAAATGTTCTTAGTTACTTCACATCTCTGGCTATTATTGCCCTCCGATTGAGTACACACATTCATGTCAACCACAGAATTATTTGCAATCACTTTAAGGTGATTTTTCCTTTTAGCAAGATCATCAAATCAAAACTGTAGTTTGTACATTACTTAACCAAAAATCACTTTTCTGTTTTGACTCTGGTGTTACTCTTGTTAAAACACTTTTTGAACTGCTTGTCATGTTTGTTTGGTTAAACGCAGAAACCATAATTTATTTATCTTGCTTGTAATGATCAGGCTGCTTTGCATCCGAGCAAAATAAAATGGTCAGTAGATCAGTGGGTCATCTTTATTCCTATTTATTACATTGTAAATATATATTTTTTTAGTAGCCTTAAAACTGAACTAATGTTTAATTTGGAACTCTCTTCTTTTTTTTCTCTGACTGGAGAGGTAAATGAGTCAAATTGAATTACTGTGACTCACTCTGGCTCTGCTCCAGTATCACACGGCGCTAACAGCCAGCAGCCTCTGGCAGTGACTCACTCAACAGTCAGAATGCTTTGGCGTTCAGTGTTGCTGACTGCCTGTTTTCTGTCACGCGTGGTGCTGTTAATGAATGATCATCACTCTGTTATTTAGGATCCACTCCAGCCTGACGCTCAATGACCTGGTACTGTACATCAACAAAGGCATCAACCTCCCTGCTCCCTCAGGTACTGCAGGCAGACCCACCTCTAAATGAACCTGGCAGTATTGTATCAAATGTATGATCCCTTACTCCTCCTCTCTGCCTTCAGGTGTCTCAGCCAGCGATCTGGATGCCAGTGTGAAGTTTGAGTTTCCTTTTCCAAGTGCCGTAAGAATCTTTCCCACTCACTGATTGAAGTATGGGCAGTTCCCTCTGTATCCAGATGTGTTTAATGTATTCATTTGTTTGATATGTGTGTAGGAGGAGGCTCAGAGGGACAAAACGGGCACAGTAAAAAGCACCAGCAGCCCGGAGTTTAAAGAGACTTTCAAACTCAACATCAACCGCACTCACCGAGGCTTCAAACGAGTCGTCCAGTCCAAAGGAATCAAGTTTGAAATCGTCCACAAGGGGTAAATAAAAACCACTCATCACAAGCATCACTATTTGCCATAATAATGTATGCTGTAAATGTCATGTTGTTCTTTGGTCAGTTGTGTTTTACCCTGTCTTCACAGGGGCCTGTTTAAGACGGACAAAGTTATAGGCACTGCTCATCTGAAGTTAGAGACTCTAGAAAACCACTGTGACCTTAGAGAGATTATAGAGGTAAGTGCTGATTTCCAGCTAACACAAATGCACATGTACTGCCCAGATGTATCTGAACAGTGCGTATATGTGTTGCTGTAGGTGATGGATGGACGTAAAGCTACAGGTGGCAAGTTGGAGGTGAGGGTGAAGATCAGGGAGCCTTTATCAGGAGTGGATCTGCAGCCGGTGACGGAGAAGTGGCTGGTTCTCGATCCTGTGTCCTCCCTTTCCCCTCCAGAGAGAAAGAAGGAGCGGGTGAGTTTGAGTTTCCCACTGACCTGCATGGGTGTGCACTGTGAAACTGAAGCAGGGCATTCGCTGTCTTTGTGTCTGAGCGGGGTTCCTCCGGGAGTTAAACATGATTTTTTTAATGATTCAAAGTCAGCGTCCGGCCATATTGTTATATTTTGTAACCAGTAAACAGGAGAGGCTTAAAACATATGCAGGATTTTACTTCTCTCTTAATATTTTTACAAATCTTTACACAACTAAAACCGGGCTGCAGAGGTGTATACCCTGTATCCATTACATCTGTTTAAGTGGTCATCTTAATGTAACAATGTTTAACTGTATGGAGAAGTAAAGGAGACTGTCACCTTAAATCAATACCCGAAACAGTCATTTATCCTATCCTGTTTTCTACGTAGTTTTCTTTCTTTTGGCATTTCCCTTGGGCTATCCTAAATCTAGGGTTTTGTTTCTTGTTCTTTTCGCAATGTTTAACAGCAAAAGACTGAAGAATTGGTGCTACCAGCTCTTTATCTCAATGTCACATCTCGTGTTATTAGCATAGTAGAAGTAAACACTTCTTATCATCTAGACATTGAGTTCAATTGTGTGCTTCATTGGATTAAAAAAACAAACGTATGCAGCAGCCTTCAGTGCAGCAGCTTTAAACCTCGGGATAAGAGCTGCTGCCCTTTGATTTATTTTCTGTAAACATGTAGCAAGGCCTATACATGCAGGAATAACTCAAGCTAACACCATTGGCACAGAAATAAATTGATTGTGAAGCCTCAGTGTTTTTGTGTGTGTTTGTTTGAATCAGGCTCCATCTCCTCGCTCTAAACCCAGACATGAAGCGAACAGCAGGAGCAGTCAGCCCAACAACTCTCCGCCGCTGTACAAACTCCACAGCTTCAGCATCCTCAGCTACGACAGGGAGCGGCTGGAGAGAAAGGTGTGTGTGTGTGTGTGTGTGTGTGTGTGTGTGTGTGTGTGTGTGTGTGTGTGTGTGTGTGTGTGTGTGTGTGTGTGTGTGTGTGTGTGTGTGTGTGTGTGTGTGTGAGTTGCAAAAGTCATGCTCATCATTACGCTTGTCCCTTAGATTGGAGAGTACCGGAAGGCGCAACGGGATCCCCCAGCCGACCTCGTCCATCAATACAAGGAGCTCACACACAGACTGCAGTGGCAGAAAGCCCAGCTGGAGCGAGGCTCTTCTTCTCTACTCACAGGTAACACACACACACACAGAATACATACAGTGGGGCAAAAAAGTATTTAGTCAGCCACCAATTGTGCAAGTTCTCCCACTTAAAAAGATGAGAGAGGCCTGTAATTTTCATCCTAGGTATACCTCAACTATGAGAGACAAAATGAGAAAAAAAAAATCCAGAAAATCACATTGTCTGATTTTGAAAGAATTTATTTGCAAATTATGGTGGAAAATAAGTATTTGGTCACCTACAAACAAACAAGATTTCTGGCTCTCACAGACCTGTAACTTCTTCTTTAAGAGCCTCCTCTGTCCTCCACTTGTTAACTGTATTAATGGCACCTGTTTGAACTCGTTATCAGTATAAAAGACACCTGTCCACAACCTCAAACAGTCACACTCCAAACTCCACTATGTCCAAGACCAAAGAGCTGTCAAAGGACACCAGAAACAAAATTGTAGACCTGCACCAGGCTGGGAAGACTGAATCTGCAATAGGTAAGCAGCTTGGTGTGAAGAAATCAACTGTGGGGGCAATTATTAGAAAATGGAAGACATACAAGACCACTGATAATCTCCCTTCCGATCTGGGGCTCCACGCAAGATCTCACCCCGTGGGGTGAAAATGATCACAAGAACGGTGAGCAAAAATCCCAGAACCACACGGGGAGACACTAGTCAATGACCTGCAGAGAGCTGGGACCAAAGTAACAAAGGCTACCATCAGTAACACACTACGCCGCCAGGGACTCAAATCCTGCAGTGCCAGACGTGTCCCCCTGCTTAAGCCAGTACATGTCCAGGCCCGTCTGAAGTTTGCTAGAGAGCATTTAGATGATCCAGAAGAGGATTGGGAGAATGTCATATGGTCAGATGAAACCAAAATAGAACTTTTTGGTAAAAACTCAACTAGACGTGTTTGGAGGAGAAAGAATGCTGAGTTGCATCCAAAGAACACCATACCTACTGTGAAACATGGGGGTGGAAACATCATGCTTTGGGGCTGTTTTTCTGCAAAGGGACCAGGATGACTGATCCGTGTAAAGGAAAGAATGAATGGGGCCATGTATCGTGAGATTTTGAGTGACAACCTCCTTCCATCAGCAAGGGCATTGAAGATGAAACGTGGCTGGGTCTTTCAGCATGACAATGATCCCAAACACACCGCCCGGGCAACGAAGGAGTGGCTTCGTAAGAAGCATTTCAAGGTCCTGGAGTGGCCTAGCCAGCCTCCAGATCTCAACCCCATAGAAAATCTTTGGAGGGAGTTGAAAGTCTGTGTTGCCCAGCGACAGCCCCAAAACATCACTGCTCTAGAGGAGATCTGCATGGAGGAATGGGCCAAAATACCAGCAACAGTGTGTGAAAACCTTGTGAAGACTTACAGAAAACGTTTGACCTCTGTCATTGCCAACAAAGGGTATATAACAAAGTATTGAGATGAACTTTTGTTATTGACCAAATACTTATTTTCCACCATAATTTGCAAATAAAGTCTTTAAAAATCAGACAATGTGATTGTCTGGATTTTTTTCTTCTCGCATTTTGTTTCTCATAGTTGAGGTATACCTAGGATGAAAATTACAGGCCTCTCTCATATTTTTAAGTGGGAGAACTCGCACAATTGGTGGCTGACTAAATACTTTTTTGCCCCACTGTATGTGTTTCATTCTCTTATATAGGACGCTGCCAAGGACGCACTTGGCCGGCTGAAGATGGTTGAGAATGAGGTAAGAGTTGCTCTAAACTAGAGGTGTGGATTGGATTTACATGAACTAGGAGTCTGTCATTTCATGATTTTAGACTTGATTTGACAAAACCAAAAGAAACTTGCAACTCCACTTGGATTCAGACTTCAAAATACCTCCAAACCCAAAGATTATTTAGAGTGCTTTTTAGTATGCCTCAAAGCATTTCATTTCCTTTCTGTTACTGAATCGACCAACCTTGACGCTATTCACTCCCAGCAAGTCGATACTTAATTTCCCAGATCCACATTTGAACCAATCAGATATCTTCAAGTCATGACGCAGAAGGGAACTGTTGAGTTACCTTACAAGCGGAAAACAAAATGATACCTACGATAACTTCGTTCCTGTACCAAAACGATGCGGTTGTACTCAACGAATTGCAGTATTCAAAATCAGCGGATCAAAATTGGTGAAAAGCACATGATGACTTGTTTTGGACTCTACGTTTAGTACTTGGGACTTACCTCAAGGCAAAGGCCTGAGATTAACATGTGAATTGCTAAACAATGACTTCCTCTAGATACTGTCTATATAAAGAAAGGTTTTATCATCATGAATGTGCATGATGTACACTGTAATTCCCTCCTTTCTCTCTACTCCAGCTGGAATCTCTGAAAAGGAAACGCACGGGATGAGAGGAGAGTGAGGGAGTGGAGGCTTGGCTGGAGCACTGTTATTTCATCCCTCTCATTCACACTCGTATACAAACACTACAGCGAGTACTACAGCACCTTTAGCATGATTCTATGCTTCTCATGTCCTTGACAACCGCATGAACCAACCGCAAAAATTAATCATATAACTTGTATCACTTGTGGTTAGACGCCCGCAACGGAAATTAAAAACTAATCTGTACCTACAAAGGGACACAGAAATTACAGCAAGCATTACAACGTGTTAACAGTTAAGGGAAAGGAGGATTATTTGCACTTAAATACTAAAGAAAGCTGCTTGTAAAGCACGGCTTTACAGACATTACCTGTGCCCTGTTAATTGTTTCTTTTTTAAATCAAATTTTTCTGTAAATTGTCAATGAAGAGATCTTTCATAGGATTGTTAGATTTTGCAGCAGCCCCCAGAGTATGTTGGTGTCCGCAGATGACCAAAAGATATGTGTGTATGTGTGTGTGCTCTAACGTGTGTTTAACCAACAAACTGAGGTGTTCTTAACCCCTTTTCCCATATTTTATGTGTGTAATGAGCTTAATCTAATCTGTCTGCTCCAGTGTTCCCAGATTACAGTAATCTGCTCCGTTTGGAGTGGTGTGATATGGGAATAAAAAAATGGGGCTTCGGGGCGCTGCAGCCTACATCCCATAATGAGGGATTAGTGTTTGTGTCACCAAGGAGACGAATAGATCAGACGTAGAGTCGCCTTTAGGGCTGGGGAGAGGGGGGTGTTAGGAACGCACCATGAATGTGGTGAAAGCTGCAAAAGCTTCTTCTTCTGCTTTTTTATCAGCCGTTTCTTCTTCACTGTCTTCACACAAAGTCCTTGGCATTTATTCAAAGATTATTTAGAGTCGCAAGTAATAAACCGCTCCACTTGGATTTTATTCAAACTGTTAAACAATATCAAGCCCATTATGCCACCTATTAGAGAATAATTAACAGCTGCTGCGTCAGTGTGTTGCTATTTTCCACCATTTTCTTTTTTGGCATATGCAGTTTACTAAACAAGATTTGTCCCACTGAGCTCTAAAGTGGCAGCACAGTGGATGGTGAATAGTCTGCAAACAGGAATACAATCCAATAAGTGTCTGTGAGGCTGGGTTATGGCTCATTTCTATTTCTGTTGCCCCAAAGACATCCCTGTCATAGGCATCCTTGTCATTCCTTTCCACTTTACCCTAATTGGTACCGTGAAGTCAAGATTCAGACGAACCCTGTAAGACTTAATGAGATGTGTGATAATTGCAGACATCTGGAAATTAATAATTTTGCCACAACAACACCAGATGTCAAAATGTCTCTGCCATGAATTCCCTGGACAGATGTTTCCTCCGTGTGTTTGACAACTTGCTAACTGTTGATCCACGCTGAGTATGCAGCCAGGATGTAGCAGACTATTTAAATGAGCCTTACTGTATGTTTTTATTTGACTCTTCATAGTGGATATATGTGAACTCCACTAATAGTTTTTCGGTCAAGTGACAGGAATCATGTGTTTACTGTAATCCACCCACTGCCTCACCCCATTAGCAAATAATCCTGGTCAAAGTTGACCTGATAGGCCTCCATAGTCTCTGTTGATTTGTATGTAAAACCCCATCCCCCACGTTTTATTTTAATCTATCAGGAGAGGATATCTTCTGAAGCTTTGTAAATGTTTCGTTATGCTTTTGATCAGTTTATTAGACGGACGGGGCAGTGGGAGGACAGTTGAATGCCTAAAGTCACATGATGGCATTTAGTTTAATATGCACGTGGCTCTTAAAGCACGATAGCAGTGTGGGTGCAACTTTTATCAAAAATACTTTATGCAGCACAGTTTCAGAGTTGATGTATTTTCCCAAGAGTCAGGCATGTGTTTCCATTTATTTTAGTGCAGTACGAAAATCATTTAGCGTTAATGGAAATGAATGGCTTTCTGAAACGGAATAATTAAATTGCCAAACAAGTAAGTGTCTCTTACAATGTTCTAAAACCCAAGGCTTCAAATGTCTTGTTATGTCAGAATGACAACGAAAAACAGATATTACATTTACTTTCACATAAGACAAAAAAATTATATATATTATCAGCATAGAGCTTTTTGACTTGACGTATGACTCAAACGACAACAAATATTGGAATAATTAACCATCAAACTGTTTTAGACAGCAAAAGTATTTAACACTTCTTAAACACAGCAACATGTTTTTTTCTCCTATTATGAGCTGTGATGTGATTTCTGTGGCTTGTAGTAAATGGGCTAACAACCAGCAGTTTGGTCCTGCAACAGAACTTTTCTTTGGCAATCAACATAGTCAAGTAAAGCTAAATGTGACACGTATCTCTGATATAAAGCCCAGTTTGTAACTCTTTCCATGTTTTAACGCCTTGACAGAAACTGGAGCTGAGTAGCAGCCCTTTCTTTCACTCTAAAACCTTTAACCCCATGTCACCTCAAACACACACACACACACCTGCAACATCACCCCACCCCACTCCAGTAACCTCATGGCCTCTGAGGCTGGGCCTGTTGTCAGGGCAACATGCACATCAGCATTCAGTGTGGTTGTTGGATGTTCAGGACCCTTGCAGAGGGACATATTGTTAAAGTTTGTCCTGCTGGTGACTCACACTCATACCCCACACACTCCTTATTTGTTGTGTTTGTTTGTTTGCTTTCTTCTCTGTTTGATCCTACTCTGTAATGCGGATGCACTCCCGTTAAAAAAAAGAAGAACGTTTGGTGTCATTTTCTGTTAATATTTCTGTCCTGATTTGCTGCAGTAAATGTAATTATCTGAGCTTGGGAAAAATATATTCTTGAACTTATTACCTTTTTTTTATCTGTTAAATCATGTAAGGGCAATCAATATAAATGTAATATTTGTATACAGTAAATATACAGCATATGTATGTATCTGTCTCTATTTTTACTTGTAAGTCTAGATAGAAGATGTGTGCAGATTAAACAGGGGAATGTATGAAAGCCTGATTATTAAGGTTTTATTATCTTCTGAATGAGGTTGGTGTTAACATGAATAAAATGGTGATACAGCACTGAGTGTGTGTTTTACTTGACTGAAAAATTCTGATCAGGTTTTTCCCATTTAGCCTGATAACTGATTAACAATTTACCTTAAACCCTGTTCCCCTTTTAACAGCTTCGGTTTGTTCCTCTTGTTACTTACTGACCTATTTGCATTGTAATAGAATGTCTTATAAACATGATTTAGACTGATGATGACATGTTTTAGAAGTCGGCAACAGAAAATTAAGATCGCTTGTGTTGGGTATCTTTGGGTATACAATAGGTTTCATGTGAATGTCTAATTAGTGTCTGCAGAACATTTATACAGTATACTCAACACAAATACCAAAGAAGTACACTTCAATTTGAAGCTGCAGCGTTTAGTCGGCTAATTGATCGGTCAATCGGTTGAAAAATAATCACCACTATTTTGACAATCAATTAATAAAAACGAATAAATGCTTGGTACAAAAAAAGTATAACATGCAGTTTCAGCCTCTGTTGTGTGTCTCACAGTTTTATATCATATTGAACTAAAACATGTTGATGGTGTTTGAGTAACAGGGCTGGAAATGCTTCAAACAGTTAATCATTGAATCTAGAAAACAATCGGCCTGTTAATCATCAATGAACATAATTATTAATTGCAATTATTAGACACTGTATGTCGCAAGCCCCTAGTATGAAGCTCCAGGAGAAACGCTCACAGAGATGATGAAATAGTAACTTGTTTTTTGTGATATTGCTTTATGGATCTTTTTTTTCAAATAGGCCAGCCTAGTTTGTGGCACACTTCTTCACAGTGGGTTTCAACAAATGTATTCAAAATAACATATTGGTTGGTTTTGTAATAATGAATACTATAAAACGATAAAAATGTAAGACAAAAATAGAATCACTTTTTCAGACAATGCTTGCTGTTGTTGCTGGGGAAGCTTGGGGCTTTGGTGTTATGCTACTAACGTGTTTGAATGTGAGATTTCCCCTGACAAAGGGGGAAAGATGAGAGGGGGGATGGTGCGCAGGAGGAACAGAAGAAGAGGGGAGTCTTTGGACGACCCGCGAGACTTTGGTGGGCGTGGACACCGAGGCTCTGGCTTCCTGCTCGGTGAACACGTGGTTCCGTGTCAGCCTTCTTGCTTGTCTGTCAGTGTGTGAAGGTTTTCTTCTCTCACTCCTCACCCCATAGCTCTCCCCTCTATCCTCCCGTGCCACACTGCAGACCTCCTTCTCTCGTGACTCTGTCCCACCCGCACCTCCTCCTGCTCCTCCGCGTGCGGCTACACTTAGCTTCTCCTCTTTGCTACGGCTCGCGTGGACTACCGACATCCAGGCCGCGGTCCCTTCAACGTGTATCTTCCCAATAGAGTGTGAAAGTGTGTGTGTGCGACAGAGATTGTGTGTGCGTGTGCGCGCACCCGCAGCCGGTCTCTCCGTGTTCTTTCTCCCCCGCCATCCCTCCTCGTTGTTCGGTCATGACGCTGGAATCGATCCGCTACCGGGCCGGGTCTCTGCAGATCCTGAACCAGCTGCTGCTGCCACACCAGACTACTTACGAGGAGATCCGCTCGGTGCAGGACGCTTACGAGGCCATCAAGTCCATGAAGGTGCGGAGCCCCTTCCTTTCTTTCTTCCTCTCTCTCCTCCTCCCTTGCTCCCCCACTTCCCATCCGACCTGCTTGCCCGCTTGCTTATGCATTTACTCCCGTCGTGCATGTATTTTTTCTCGTTGTCATTTACTAACGTCTTTAAGATAGGGATTACCAAATATGCAATAATGTGTTTAATAAATATGGGAGTATTTGGTTATGGTTAAATTACTATAATTAATTGACAATAATGCTACACTACAGTGATATACTAAACAATGTGTTTCTGTCCAGGTGAGTTGGAAAGCAGAATCTGGAAGCTGAAGGACATCATCCTTGTTCACCTG